TCTTCTGTCTTTGGGGCACCGGCGGTCTCTCCGACGTCACCACCGGCTCCAGAAGCTCAGCGCCGCCGAACCACGGGCTCGTCGGTCCCGACGAGGAAGACGAAGACGTTGAACTCGACGAAGAGTCGGTGAACGACGGTGACCCGAACGACCAGACGCGACCGCCGGTGCGGGCCCGCTTGCTTCGGGCTTTGGCCGGGACAGGGGCTTTGAAGCATGACTCTTCGTTGACCGGAGTCACCGGGTGTTTCCGGTCGCCAGTCAACCATGCCGGTTTCTCCCTCGGCGACCCGGTGAGATACGGTGCCGAATATTCCGAGAAAGAGTCGTCTACGAAATGCGATAGCCATTCCAAGTTCGCCAAATCATCCGCCTAACCACAAAATGGAAAAGTTTAAGACATATTTGGAAGAATATATCCCGAAAATTTAAGGAACCGTTGAAAAAGCTGCAAGTTAAAAACGAATTTTACCGGAACGGAGAGCTCGCTTGTCGGGGCTGGACCAAAATCATCGCCGGCGGAGAAATGTGTGCACCGGAGAAGGGTATTTCCGTCACACTGAGGGTCCTCCGAGGAAACAGAGGCTCTCTCCGGCTGGTCGTTGGGCTGGGCATCTTCGCCGGCGACTTCGTCAGCGAAAACGTCGTCGTTGGACAAGTCGAGCAAGTCGTCGACGGAGAAATCTTCGGGACAAACGCCATTCTGGGAGCTGACGGCGAGCAAGTCGTCGACGAACGCCGGCGGGGTGAGTCTCATGGCCATCTCCTTCCTAACACTGCTCTTCAACGCCCCTTCAACGCGTTCCATTTCCTATCAAACCCACCAGACGAAAATCAAACACCTTTTCTGAAAAAACAATCAAACCATAGAAAAATTCTAAAACCAATTTTTTTTAAAAAACTACGCGGAATACCAAAAATTTGTTCCTTTTCCGCATTCCGAGAGAGAATTTCACGAGCCCAGAAACCCAATTATCGGAAACGAGACAAGAAGAGACTGACGCGCACAGAAAATTCACAAGTCCCTTGAAAAACCCACACCAAGAAATTTCAAAACCCCTCTAATAACAAAAACCGAAAAATAAGAGAGAAAAAAACCCGCCACGAAACCCAAAATTACCCTTGAAAAGATCCCTACCTGAGGGAGGAAGGAGAGAAGAAGATTCGACGGAGAGGCGGAGGAGAGAGGTAGAGAGAGAGGGTGCGGATGGAGGTGGAGGAGGAGGTGGTGGTGGTGAGAGGGAGAGAAGATAAAAGGATGGTGGTGAGTTTGGTAAAGCATTGAATATGGTGCCTCTCCTTCCCCTCTTCTAAAAGTGCCCGTTTCTTTTTTTTTTTTTTTCCTTCCTTTCTTATCTCTCTCTTTATTACTGCTCTCAGACAGAAGAAAAAAAAAACAGAATATTTTTTTCCTAAAATACCCAACCGGAAAAAATCTATTAATACAAATCAGTTGATTCTTGTGTAAATCGTACGCGGATACGTTTACTGAGAAACGGTACTGTTCATTAATACGGGAACATGGTAAAAGTAAAATCTTGTCTGAGATTTTTACCGGTTTGAACGTCTCGGAGTCCAGTCAGGTTAAAATCCACTGGCATTTAGTCTTGGATTATTTTTTCCCCAATTTGCCCATCGCTTTTGACTCCATTTACGGACCCCGCCCAAGCCGCGTTAATCGCCGCTCATCGTGCCAGATATCTTCTTCCCGCTCAGTGGTTTCTAAAACTCACCCTTTTTTTTCCCCTCGTTTTATTTATTCGTCGAGAAAAGTCAAATATGCCCATAAATCCGAGGGTGGAAAGACGATAATGCCCTCGACGATAAAAGAGAATGGACAAAAACAAAAGCATGCCTTGGGAGTAAAGGCAAAGTGAAGCTAAAATGATACAGAAACCGAAGGGAAGGAGATGGATGGGGCCAGCTTTTGTCCCTCGCAACTTCAGCACGGGCTCATCATCATTCTCTCGCTCATACAATTCACACTCCACAACTATGTAGACATTATGCATATTCTATGATTAGCTCTGCCAAAAAAATAAATAAATTATTTTTTACAAAATTAAATGTCTTGTGAAATCATGTTATCCTTTTTGTGAGATATGTTTCTGTTTTTAGTTTACGTATTCAATCCTTACCCATTTTAGCCTTGCATTTAATTGTTTGTACAAATATTTGTTGTAAGCTTTTTGATTTGTTGAATATAAAAGAGAGAGGTGTTTTAAAAGTCAAACAATCTAAAAGATTCAATTGAATCGTCCGTCGTTTTTTAATTTTAATATTGAGTCATCATGAAAATAATATAATATTATTTAAATAAACGTAAAAGTTATCGTTTTGACCATATCAGCCATTGAGCCGGACGAGGCGAAGAGGGGTATTAACGTCAAATAAAAGAAGAGACGTTGTTGAAGAAACGCGCCGAGCCGAAGGGAAGATGAGCCGCGTGGCATGCTGACGTGCCGTGCGTTCTTTGGCTCTTTCCCATGCGTTCTACGTGAGCCGACCAATCACAATTTTTCGACGGCTTCCTCTCTCTCCATTCAATTTTTTTTTTTAAAAAAAATATTCTCAGCCCATTACATTTCATTATGAAAATCACTCAAAATTATCTGTAAATATCACATTTTAATTTTTCGTTAAGATTTTTTTTTATTATGTCGTCCTCGTACTCCCACAATCCCGACAGAATTAAGGTTTTTACACCCGAGTTATAAAAATGTCAAATGTGAAGTTGTATCCGTAAATTATTGTTTTATTGTGCGTGTATATATATATAAACTTAAAATAAAACTCATATAGTCGTAATTCATTTTCTATGTTTATCTCGGTTCCATAAATATCTGTTTGCCTTTATGAATGAATTAAAACACAAAAATTTGTTTGTACTATATTTTTCAATTATTTATTAATCATAATAATATACTCGATAAATTGGTGGTGCGCATTAGGGCTTGAAAAATCAGATTGACAACTTGGCAGATGGGATGGGAGCGGGAAAACAAATAATTCGATTTTGTATTTCACGTTTTATAGACCATTCCATGTGTTATCCATCACTTTCAATAAATTTCTGTCTCTATACCTTTGAATGTGCACATTTTTTTTTTGTTCTTCCGTGAGATTTTATTGATAATCGAAAATCATCATGTCTTTTTGATTTATTGTGTAACAATAAAGGAATTATAATACAGATAACGTGTCAATCTAAAACCATATACAAATCATCCTGTACGGAATATGATTAAAAATCTAGAAATATGTTAATATCATTTTCGTTATTTGCTTAATTATTTTCGCTTTTGCATTTGTAGCAAATACGTATTATAGGTGTAGTGAAATTGGGCCTGACTAAAAAAATGTTTTAAATGATATGTTTGCTTGTTGGGCCTCAGAGATGAAATTACATTTGGGCCCTTGTAGCAATTTGCTTGCTGTCTTCCACTTTGTTATGGATGAGATATGTAATGAATGATTGAAAAACAAAAAAGAAAACTGATGCGATGTCATGTGCATCATCTAACAAACACGTGGGACTTTAATTATAGGTATTTTTCAAATGATAAATATATATCTATTGGGTATTAAATATTTCATTAAATTGTCCCTTTGTTATTGTATGGATAAGCATTAGGGGTAGGCACGAGTCGGATACCCGAAATTTTTAGGATATCCGAATCCGAAAAATAACACATTTTAAAACCTGAATTTGAATCTGAGTTTTCGGGTATCCGAATTGTATTATTCGTGAGATAATTTTTGGGTACCTGCGAATATCTGAACCCGAAAAATTTTAATTATTTTTCTAAAAAAATTATAAATTTATAGATTTTATATAAATAATTCATAAAATTAATGAAAATAATTAAAAATATTTATATTTAAAATTATTAGATAATAAAATAATAGTTTATATACATATATAAATATAAAAATTCAAGATTATTGATAGATATTTTTATTAATTTTAAATAAATAATATTTATTTTTTATTATTCTGGTATCCACGGGTAATTACCCGACCCGAAAATGTAAACCCGAATCTGAACCCGAATTTCGGGTTTTAGATATTTTAAAATCCGATCTCTATCTCATAGCATAACATGTATCCGATTTTCGGATATCCGGCCCTTGGGTCGGAACGGATACCCGATTTCCGGTTAATTTTGTCCACCCCTAAAAGTATTTCGATTATGTACATGTAATTTTTGCGTGTCTGATATTTAAATATAATATAGTCGATTAGCATTTGGCACATAGAATATTGATAGATATATACAAACAATGTGACATTTGCTAAACAGTTACCTGCTGTATAATTGTGCAATCTATTCTTACATAAAGACAGTGAGATGTAAATGTAATAATGAAGGACGGAAGGTGGTACAGACACTCTCTCTGAGTAAAGGACAGAAGTTGGGCCACTAGTACGGACGCCTGGGCCCAAAGGCCGGAAATTGCGTGGTGGCGCGTGCACACCACGACAGTCGAATGTCACATGACAGAGGACCCTTTACATTTATCGTCCATAGCGCCCTTTTTACTCTGTTATTCGTTGTCACCATAGCTACAGAACACACGAGCAAGGAAAAGATTTGAAAAAAAAAAAAAAAAGGAACATTAAAGGAAAGGAGACAAGATTTGAATCTCGAAAAAAACCCAAAGAAAACTGAGATTCAAATAAGAGATAGGAGACAAAACAGAACATAACCCAATCGGATCAAAGAATTATTAAACAGATAATTATTTAGCTTATTTGTTAATTTCAAAGAATTAAAGGGCTAAACTTTTCTATTTTCGACTAACGGCTTCTGCCGAAGACAATGCTGACCGGCCTATCTGAATATAATAATTCCCTAAAATTAATTCAAGAACAGAACACACCCGATTTTTTTTATTTTTTTTTTAAAGAGAGAACCAAACGAAAAAACATTTTATTGATTATTTAGTCACAATTATTCAAGGAATTACACCTCTAAACTTTCTACATTCCATGAAAGGCCTCTGGTCACGGCCTTGGCAGAAGAAAAGAGTAGTCGGACACCAGAAGAAGCAATTTCCAGCGAGCTGTACATTGGCCGACCCTGGTTTAAGCTCCATCAACGGACCGGGAATGGCTCCGAACAGGAAATTCCCGCCCAGAAGAAGTCTCTCGAACGGGGCGAAATACGATCCGGGTGAAACCGTCTTCCAGACATACTGGGTCGGAATCATACCCGAAATTTTGTTGTTCTCTAGCGATAAAGCAGAGAGCTTGGGTAATAGACTCATGAACAGAGGCAATATCCCTTGGATCTCGTTGTTGCTGAGATCAACGGCTATTAGCTGACTCGGTAGACCCGACGGGGAATACCACGGGGACTGTACGGACGTGAACCGGTTGAAGGAGAGAGTCAGCTGTTGCAGTGACGAGTGTGTGAAGATGAACGATGGGATTGAGCCGCTGAGTCTGTTGTGGCTCAGATCGAGAACTTGGAGAGAGTTCAGAAGGTTTAAGCTCTCGGGGATTGTGCCTCCGATGAAATTGTTTCGCATGGAGATTTGGACCAGCGACTCGGGTAATGAAGACGGGACCCGACCCGATATCCGGTTGTCGCTTGCGTCGAGGTAGGAGAGGTTCTTGAGCGAACCCAGATCGGGAAACTCGCCGGAGAGATTGTTGAATTGCATTTCGAGCCGTTTCAGGCCGGAAATACCGTTGAAATTCGCCGGAACTGGGCCCTCGAGGCGGTTGTTGTCAAGGAGGACCTCCTCGAGGCCCGTTATGGATCCGATGGAACCAGGTACGGACCCGGAGAACGAGTTTCTCGACAGGGCGAGTCGAGTGAGGCGAGTCAAGTGGGAGAGCGAGTCAGGAAGTTGACCGGTGAAGTAATTGCCGGTGAGGTCGAGGGTCTGCAGGTAAGGAAGGTTGAAGGAGACGGAGGAGAGGGAGCCGGAGTAACCCGCCTGGTCGAGGCTGAGCTCCGTGACCCGAGCCGAGCCAGAAATGACGAGATCACAGCGGAAGCCGCAGGTGAATCTCTCGCCAAACAAGCTGTCGCAGGGATCGAGGGAGAAGTCCCAGGAGGAGAGGCACGAGCCGGGACTCACTGAGTCGGCGTGAACAGAGTTCTTGAACTCTTTCAGAGCTTCCACGTCAGCCCAGAATGTCTTGGATTCTGCTGAAGAGAGAGCAAGGGAAAGAAGGAGAAGAAAGAAAAGAGAAGCCATGATCGAAGAGGCAAGAGAAAAAGCTCAAAACTGTGGAGATAGTGGAATGGTGATGGAAGAGGGGAGCGAGAGTGGATGAGAACCGTCCGATTAGATGATGGGAGTGGAGGAGTGTCAGAACTCGGAATGAATAATGATCTGAGAGCGAGTCATGACTCATGATGGCCTTGAAACTTGTTAGTAGATTGCAGATATATGCCATAGAGTGTGTATGGTGACGTGGGGTACCGTTCTTAATTGCAGCAGCTCAGCTCGTGTCGTGAACATATTTGATATTTAAAACCTGTAGAAATATAGTAAACTATATTCTCGAAATGCGGATGCTTAATTCGGAAACGTATATGAAACTATTTAAAATTTATGTTCACCAAAATAAAAGTATTAAACTCCAATATACTTTGTTGACTCCAAGAGATAACCGTTTGCGAGCTGATTTGGCTTTCTAACAGCCAATGATATCCGGACACGTGTAATAGCAGTCGGGAAAATTCAGATGACGAAATATAAAACCGGGAGGTATCTCTCTCCATACGCGTGGTGGCCGTCGCTACGTTGAATAATCGTCTTCCTCTTCCTCATCGAATCCCGATCGCCACGTCACCGGAAGGCAGTCATCTCCGATCAACCCTCTGAGAGGATCCTCCGTTTACAACCCGATCACCGCCGTCAATTGCCCCCGATCTCGGGAAACATCGCCGCCATGGAGACAAAGAGCGAGAATCCGAAAAATATCGAAGCGGCGGAGAAGAAGGTAGAGAAGGAGACGAAGAAGCAGAAGGCGCCGCTTCCCCCGCCGCCGGAGAAGCCGGAGCCCGGCGATTGCTGTGGCAGCGGTTGTATTCGCTGCGTCTGGGATGTTTACTACGAGGAGCTCGAGGAATATAACGAGCTATGTCGATCCGTTTCTGGAGAATCTAAAGTCGGTTGAATCGATCTCCGATTCAAACTTTTACCCTCGTTGCTGGAAAACATTTGCTCTGATTTTTCTTTAAATAATCATGTTATTTAAGATTTTTTTTTTGTAAACGATTCCAAAAATTCTCTTTTAATTATATATTTTTCGTTATATTTTCCCCTTCTTTTCATTCTTTGTCTATTTAAAGTCCAATAAATCCTCTTTTCCCCCCTTTAATTCGATTAAGATTACAGTATAATATATTTTCCATGTACTTATTTTTTTACATGACCAAATTTCGAGGGAAAGGTAAATCCGTAATTATAAACTAATCGGGCATTGACTAAATAAATACGCCAAGGCTTGCGTGCGTCGCCGAACAAAAAACCAAGAGAGGGGGAAAACCGAATCAAGGACTTTATTTTCCAAATTCATTTCTAGCTGGGCGATGGCTGGTCTACTTCGCCGCCGTATCTCCGTCGCGGCGGTTCCGTTGCTGATCATGCTTCTGACGATTGATGCTCTGTCTAACTACGCCTCTGCTGCGAATTCAGCTTCGGCTTTCGTGCAAAACGCCATCTTCTCCAACAAGATCGTCATCTTCTCCAAGTCCTACTGCCCGTAATTCCTCTTTCTCCTACTTTTTTCTTCGTTTCTCTATTCAATTTCGATCCGGATAGAGATCCAAGGGTTTGTTTTGGCATTCGGTTGAATGGAAGCCCCGGAATTTGAATTTGGATAGCCTTCTATCGATTATTCGCCGATTAGCCTACTGGGTTTTGTTTTGGCGTCCGCGAATTGAATACATGGTGGTTTTTCTTTGTGTGTATGCTACTTTTAGGTACTGCATGGCTGCCAAACGAATTTTCAGGGAACTGAATGAACATCCATTTATTGTGGAGCTTGATCTTAGAGGTATTCCTGTTCTTCATCACCGGCTATACATATGTCGTGCAATTATACTCTTAGTTGACTTGTCTGTTCATGGGATATTTGCAGATGATGGACCTCAAATCCAGTATGAGCTTCTGGAATTTGTTGGCCGGCGCACTGTCCCGCAAGTTTTTGTAAATGGCAAGCATATTGGTGGATCTGACGGTAACCATTTTGTCCTAAATTTCATTTTTCTTTGTTTTGTTTTCACCCATTAATCTTGTTCCTTTCTAATTCACATCATGTGCCTATTTTTCTTGTTTCAGATCTTAGAGCTTCTTTCCAGAGTGGTCAATTGCAGAAGCATCTTGCTGCAAGTTGATCTGGGAAAAGATAAACTGGAATCATGTGATGTAGGGGAATAGGAGGACTGAGTAAAAACATTGTTGATGTTGATGATCTCCTTAGTTACTGCTCTTCATGGAATATACATGATGTTGATGAAGTCTTGTAAATGCATCCACCATAACCCTCATTACCATGTTTGCTCTGGCAGCACTTTAGCATAAGTTTCTTTCACTAGTACTTACTTTTCTGATTCCGTGGCGCATTCAGGACATGTTTATGAGATTGGCAATGGCATCATCATCATTTTTTGCACATTGAAGGCTGCTGTTGCTGTCTTCTCTCATGGCATTTGAGACAGTTTTCCGGATGACGGTAGCACCAACCCTGTTGAGGTTTTTATCTCAGGGACCAGGCACGTCGGTGGGTCACCCGGGCAATGCCTCTCTGTGCTCAAAATGCCTTATGATCCTCAGTTTCATTGTGTAAGCAGGGTATATAATCAGGAGCAGGAGTGATATTTCACCCACAGTTGACATGTCTTCCCTATTCACCATGCTCTCTGCAGTATCTGACTCCTCTTCCTCTCTGTTTATCGTTGACTCAGGCGACTGAGTCGTCCGAGACTTTCTACAACTCAGGCTAACGCTTATGTTATTTATGAAAAAGATTCCCCCTGAGCCAGACCCAACCGCAGCTGTCCCCTGTCCGCCGTTCATCAATGCTCTGGTCTGAACCGCCTTGTTTTTCTGTCTCCCTGTTGTTTCTTGTTTGTTTCTGTCCTTCTTTTGCATTCTGTTCGGTTCCTCCTGTCCTGTTGTTGCCCATTACCTTCATTCATTAGTGTTCATCCTTCATTGTATTCTGATCCTCTTCTTGCCCAGTTTCCTATATCCACCAATTTCTGATCCTCGTCTTGTTGCCCGTTTTCTGATGTCTCACTTTGCGCCGCCGCTTATGGAAAACCCAATGCTATATTTTGATTGTTCATCCTCAGCATTTGAATCATTCTCTTCCCTTCGGTCTCTTGCTTTCTGAAACATGGAATTCTGCTCGGACGTAGCCTTAGCTCTCTCTCTCTCTCTCTTGTTACACTGGTTGGTCACTGCTGGACCCAGTTTTCTCGGGTTCAGGAACGGCGGCAGACGCGTCGCAGTGCGGGGGAGAGTGGAGGATAACATCTACACACCAATCACACAAGATGACTATTTTAACGGGTCACGGGTAGGGTTGTATGAGCTCCGGCTTGTTCCCACTCGTTTTGCCAAACGCCTTTCCTTCCCTCTGAAAACATACATTGGTTGAGAAGACAAATATGGTGGACAAGTTGACTCTTATCTAAGATTCAACGGAGTTGGACGGTGCCTTAACGAAAGGGTTTGTTACATTTACACGTTAGTGTTTCAGGAAAATTAAAGCCCATACGCTCACGTATTCAAGCAATTCATGGATGGACAGCCCAATAGGCCCACATCTTCTCTCTCTGGACCTGCAGTTTTGTCATTAATCGCTACAGGACAAAAAATATAGATACGTGTTGATGACTCTATACAAATGAAAAAGTATATGACTGAAATATTCAAAATAAAAAAGATTAAACTTTCCACCAAAAAAAATACATATTATTGTTTTACAAGAAAAGGGGAAAGTGGTACCCGGGAAACCTCGGGGGGCAAAAATCAGCCGCGGGCGGATCGAATAATGGAGGGTTAGGGTTTAGGGTTAGGGTTTTGGATTTGATTCATGGGATGTAACCGAATCAATAATTTATGTGAAACCCGAATTCAGAAAGAAACAGACCAAGACAAGTAGACAAAACTACACATCTTCCATATTATAACATTAATAAATAATGTATGTTTTGTTTTTTGGTCTTTTTGGGGACTGCAACACCACACCCTATGTCTCTTCCCCAATGCTCCCCCTCACTCACCCAATCATTATTTTGGTTTGCCATTTCATTTTTAATCTTAATTTCCCTTAAATACTATCTAATGCAAAACCTCCTTAATTAGGATCGATCTCACACGTGCATTAATTAATTAAGAGCAGCTAAACAGCGATTATTATGCAAAGAGAACATCGATTATTACACGAAACTTGGTTTAGAGGAGCCATGAATGAGCAATGGCCGCCAAATGCGTTTTCGAGGCTTGGGGTGTTATAAGATACATGATCAACAATAGCATTTTGATCCCTGTAATGTTCTTCAGTACATTGACTGCTATGGAGATCTGAGTTGACGGTTGTGAATTTGAGAGAAGCGTAAATGAAAACATCTTTTTAATTATGATGAAATATAAAATCTAAAAAATATTATTCTCGTGGAATATTAAAACTAAATACCTTACATAATAGCATGTATATATATACACCCAAATTTAGGTAGTTCAACCGCTGAAACGGGATGTAAAACGTCATGTTCTGAGTTCAAACCTCAAGTTTTAGGGGTGGGCATATAATCCAAATCACATGGTGGTTCACTATCCCGAGATTAATATGGACCTTAATTTAGGATACCAATTAACAAAAAAAAAAGTATATATATATATATATACAAGATATCGTATTTGATGAGATGATCACTAAAGAAAAAAAAGAAAAGAAATAGAGAGAGGGTTATCTCTCTCTCTAGTGTGGAGTGGAGAGGGGGAATTTGGGAAATGAATGATGAAGAGAGGAGAGAGGCAGAAAGAATAAATACGGGGCAGGAGAGTTCTGAAGCCAAACATAGTCATCTGCAGACATGACATTGCACCTGAATTTTATTCCTTTTCGAGCTGCTCCCCACCATGAGAATCTGCAAAAGCCTCTCTCTCTCTCTCTCTCTCTCTCTCTCTCTCTCTCTCTCTCTCCCCCAAAGCCTAAATAGAGGGACAGTGTCGTCACCCAACACCCCATTGTAAACAAAAGCTTATCCATCGTTTGCGCCTTTTCTTTTTTGGTTTCACAGACAAAGCCATATTGCATGATTGAAGCCTCTAATCATTTAGACGCAGGGAGATGCCCAGATAATGAAGCTGCCGTATGGTCTTTAGGCCGCGATAACAACGGTATATATGTGTATATACACTCACATCTATATACGGCGTATATAGTTGTAGCTACACACACCGCCTCGCATACGTATTATGGATGGATGGATGGATGGAAAGGAAACGTAGCATTATTACGTGGAGCTACTCAGATGTCGGTGAGTAGGCCAAATATCATTTTCAAATATTTAATTATATATCTGTCTATAAAACCAGTTAATTAGTATATCGAAAGACCCAAAATCTGTAACTCAGTCCGGAAACTTTGCTTTTCATAGATTCGTATAACAGATTGAAACCAAGATCTCGTCAGTTAAAAATAATTCATTGTTTAGCTTTGATAGCCGTTTCGTGTTATTTATATTGATACCAAGATTGTATATAAATGCACAAGCGCATACCCAGACATATATATATATATATATATATATATTCATATATATAATTGCAAACATGGCAAAAATGAAAGAAAAGTTTGTATAAACAAATAGCGTATGAAACAAGAAATTAAAATAAAAGCAGGACATTGAAAATTGGTAACAAGGGGCATATGGTGAATTCAGAGAGATATGGGGTTGACTTTACGTCAGATCTGCAAATTTCTTATACTGATATTCTATATATCAAACACGCTATTAATTAATTCATTGAAAATATTTCAAAGTGAAATTATAAACCCATGGGAGTGGACATACCATATTGCCACTATGATGCAAAAGATAAATTGCACATGTATACATATTTGTGGGTAAAGAGATTTAAATATACATAAAATCGTTATTAATTACCAACAAGAAGATATACAACGGACGGTTGAACTTGAACGAATAGAAAGAAAAGTCAAATAGCTTTTTTAAACTAAAAATTTGTAAAATTAAATTATATCTATCGGGTATTATAAAGAGCTGAAAACTTAATAAAAAAAAATTTAAAATACAAAAGAAGTAAAGATATATTGAATGGATGCGGATCAAATAAAAGCGTGAGCGCAGTATCGAACTTTAGCTCCGGATTCTGAGGTTACGTGTTATACAAACCAATAACCCGACATAATGAAACAAAGGATACAGCAAATGTTCAGTGTTTATATAATATAAAACATGATGAACCTCCCGATTCTTCGCCGTACACATATAATATAACCATCACAATAATAAATGTGTTATTTGTGAATTAATTCAAAACCCAAATGCATCGAAAATCGAGGAGACGCGAATCAGACCCCAGTGCTCAGCATCCTATTTCCTTCTAAAATTTTCAGCTTAAACCCTATTTCTGTCGTAAGATTCTAAAGTTATGTTTTGTGTTTTCCTTCAAATGTCCGTTTCAGGATCTCGGGTTCGGAAAAAATTGCGTACCGGCCATGAACGTGTTGATCGGAGTAGGATGAAGAGACGAAGGATCGATGTAGCCGGAGGAGGAGGAACCGCCCCCGCCCTTATTGCCGATGTTGGGGCTGGAGGAAGAGACCGCCGTTATGAGATTCAGCGGCTGAGAGCCGCCGCAGGAGGAGCTTTCCGCGGCGCCGCCGCTGCAATCAGGGCCCTGGTCGTAGAGGATGCCTTTGAAGACGTGACCGCCGATGCTGACGGCGGTCTGGTAAGCGAACTGGTCTTCTCCCTCCACGTCGACTGAGCTCACTCTCACGCACCTGAACACCGCCGGCGAACTCAACTCCGGTGGGAACTGACCCATCTCTAGCCCTAAATCATCAACAACAAGAAAAATGCGGTAATCGCACCGTTGATAACGATGAAGAAAAGGGTTACGAGAATTTCATCATACTTTCCTAAATTTCTTGTTTTTTCCCCTCACCACCAAGACTCAGGTTACGGAAAGGAAAGGGCACGGAAGCTTAAGAAGTTAAATAAAGAACACACAGATTCCAAGACCGGTGAGAACAGTTTGTTCCTGTCAATCCAATAGTCAGTTTTACTCCAACACAGTACTTTCAGATTAAGACATAAGAGAAAAAAACCATTTTTTTAAGAGAAAAAGGAAAAGAGAAAGATGGAGGAGAAAAGCTGATGAGCATAATAGGGTTTTAGCCATGGAAGGCGGTTTCAATTTCACTTAAGCTATCTAAACACTTTCGTCTGGTTATTACACACCATACTTGCAGAAAGTGTCTTTATTTATTTTTGTCAAACAACCGAAAAACAAAAAACAAATTCGTGTTCGGGCATATTCGGATACCTGAAGTGTTAGCTGGTAAACGAGTGCAGACGAGCGAAGACGACGCAAGGTTCTCCCTCTGCCGTTTCGGAACGCTCTCTCCCCGCGTCTGCGTCTGCGTTTGCGGCTGGTGCTGAATAGCTGCGAGATGTTGCTGGCGCTCGCGGCGTTTGGCGGCTGGGACCCACGTGCTCTTCACGTGAGTCTGGCACTCGAACCCTCGGCTCTTACAGCAAGCCCGACACCTCAGGTGAGCGCAATCTTTCTTCGCCTGGTTCCCACAGTCCTGGCAGCTCACTCCTCCGCTGACTCCAGTCCGTAGCATCATCAGCGCCGCTCTGTTTGCGACCGCCGCGGCGGAGGTTTCGCCGGAGATATCAAATTGGGTGCGGCTGCTGGGTCCAACGCCTAAACCCGCGGCGGAGGAGTAAAGATCCAACCTTTGCTGGTGCTGTTGCTGGTGGAAGATGATCTCCTGCTGGTTCTGATGCTGCCATAGCTCGAGAGTTCCTTTGTAGGAAGAAGTAATGTCTGCCGCGTTAGCGGTAGGCGAGTTAGGGTTTCGGTACCAACGCCAAGCATCTGTCACCGGGGGAGGATTAGTGTTGGTTCCTTGGTTGTGCTCGTCTTGGTTGCTTCCCCCTCCTCCTCCTCCTCCGCCGCCGCCTAACGAGAAAAACCCTGCCATTCTCTCTCACCACCATTCGCCATATCACATCCGATACGGTCTTCCTTTTAGTCAACCCCTCCGAACTCCAGGATCACCATTTAACCCCCCCAAAGATCTTCTCTTTTCGGACAGAAATTGAACGAATCTGTTTGGTCTCCGGAGAGAAAAGGAGTGAAATGAACGAAACCCGACAACAAAGTCCACTCTTTTTCGGTTGATCCGGCGGAGGAAATCTGATTGTTTAAAACCTAGGGTTCGGTTGAAATCTGTGAGTTTAGCTGTATACTGTCAGAGGTGTGGTTGTATTTAAGAGAAAGGAGGAAGATGAAGAATGGAGAAGAGAGAAGGAGAAATCAGTGAGGTTTCTTTCTCTTTCTCGCGCTCTGCAACGCCGCCATGTCCATTATAATCTCTTTCTTCTGCTCTTTCTGCTCCTCCAATTTAATTCTCTGTCTCTTCTCTCTGATCTTCTTTGTTTTTTCCTCTATTTTTTAATTTAAAAAAATCCTCCCTTTTTTCCTTTTTCTTGTAACCCTGGTTTGTATATCATACGCTCGGGTCCTTTGAGCAACGATTACGCCTTTCAACGCTCTATAGATCTCCATCCGCTGATATTTCCAGCTCGTGATCCGACGGTCAATAACTTGCCACGTCTGCATGCTTTGGCCTCTCGCCCTCTGCGTCGTTTCCACCGGAAAACCCGCTACCTCTTTCCTCGATGTTCTCCTTGTGGTATGGTGCAACAAATTCTCTAATTTTTTTGTTTAAAAAAAAAAGATATTACTAACCCTAAAAACACATACATCTATAATTGAACATGTGAAAAAAAAAAAGCTTTTTACCTTTGGAAAGACGAAGGCTATACAACATTTCATTCAGCTACTCAGCCTCATTCATGATGTGTACAAAATTCAACGCCAAATCATTACTATTTACGAATTTACATAGTTTTCTACGTATTATTTTTCTAGGAATGGGTTAGTTTGGTTAGCAAAAAACAATTCTCTTAAAGTGAGCCTTTATCTTGTTTATATATATATATATATACATGTGTGTATATATATAATACCCCTAAATAAGCAGAAGGATTAATAAATCTCGGAATCATTGATATTCTCCAGTAATGACGGTAATGTATGTTTTGTTGTTGCATGGTGAGAGAGTTTGTGGCTTAAATCAAGTGCGTAAAGGTGTAGCTGGAAAGCAGATGCTTGTCCATGTTTCCGAGGAAACAAATTCTTATAATCATATAATTATTGACCGTTTATCTGTACACGTATATATATATATACACACACACACAATCCTATTCTCGGCTGTCTCTGCCTGTTATATATATATATATATATATATATATCAAAATAAGATAGAAATACGAACGTCACCCTCACAGCACAGTCGTCTGAAAAAGAAAATTGATTTAAAAAAAACACAAATGTAGAAGGATGAAAGCGCGTGCAGAGAGAGGGGGGAAGAAGGGCGATTCGGGAATTTTGCAAGAGGGATGGGTAATTTGGACATTTAACAAGTGATGATGGAGAATGGAATCACGTGCTCGTGCTAAACTAAAAGATTAGCTCTCCAATTTTCTTTCTAAACGAGTAAAACCCCCATTGCATTGCTTATATAAATTCATATTATTTTGTTGCTATTGAAATAGTTACATAAAGGGTGAGGGATAACAAATGATATTATTGAACTTCTTTTATGCAACATGCATGGATACGAATTGGAAAAATATCCAATCCTAGCATTTCGTAACATCTAAAACGATATCGTTTTAATTAATCGTTTCATGAAAATGTATGTGTATATATATGTTTCATATGAGATGTTTTTCAATTTGTATTCAGTCACCCTGAAAAAAAAATGACATAATCCACGTATTAGTGGATCCCACAAAATCTTGTAATCGGAACAGCTCCACGTATATATATTCCGACAAAAAAAAGTGTGTACAAATTATTAACTAAGTATTTGGATGATGCATCGTTCGGTCTTAATTTATATACAAGAGGGGATTTTGGATGATTTATTCATGAGATCATAATTGCAAAAAAAAAAACCCCTTCAAAGTTGGAAAGATTATTGGAATTATTACAAGGGGAGGAATATAAAATAATATTGGAGGAGATAATGATATGCATTGATTGTTACATGCAATCATTTAGGATTTGAGAAGCTGGGGGGACATGGGACAGTGACCTGTTCTCGGTATTCTTTCAATACTACGTTACAAAACTATAAATGACAAATAAATAACTTTCTTATATTATATCCCTCACAAAATTTAAACGCTACAACGATTTTCAAATATTATCTGCCATATAACGGATTCGCACAAGGCAGGCTGTTGAAAGCTTTGTTTCTTTTTATTTTTTTTAATACAAATATTTCTAATGGATAGAAGACATCTTTTGTCTTTCATACTAATTGAAAATAGCATATACGTATTAACAATTTTCCAATTTAATCTTGCATTGTTTTTTTATATATCATGCATATCGCGTACCAAAATGTTATATACATGGTATGTGTAATGTCTATCGTGGAGTGATTCGTCGCAATGGTGGAATATATCCATCCATTCATGTACTGCTTAACCTTTATTCGAACCCTACATATCTTTTGATAGACTTTAATTAGAAACTTAAGATGCCATCAAACGAGAGAAAAACAAGGAGAAACTAACTACAATAGTTTTTTAGAAATGCGGGACGTAGACACTCAAACTGCAAAACTATATATATATATATATACGTATATACATATATATATATATATACGGTAGAGATGGAAAGATGTCACCTTTGTATACAACACGTACACAAATATTTATACAGAGAGATTGGGAAGAGTGAATGAATAGAAGCATGACACCTGATAGGATGTTTGTGGCCTCTCTGACATGCGTTTTAAGACAGAGACATCACCTCTTAATTCCTACAAAAAAAATTCTCTAAACTTTTCTCAGATTCCCAAATCATTTTTTTTAATTATTCTGTATTTTATGTAATCCAGCAGATTTTCTAAATATCACCCAATATATCCACATTATATAAAATAAATCCGTGGTTTTCACTTAAACGGGTCTAATGTAATTAGGCCTTAGGGTAAAGCGTATCAAATTTAAATTCTAATGCAATAATCGACGGGATATTAAATGTGAAGTAGTTGTGTGTGTGGGAAAAAAAAAAACAATCTTATAAATGCAAGAGGGCAGTACAAATACGGCGTGCGTATATAGTGGCAGCGGAAATAAACGGGTGAGGAATATGAGAAATGATAATGAGAAAGTAAATTATAAAAGAATAATAATTTACCAAAAAAAAATTATAAAAGAATAAATGAGAAAAAGACGTCGAGGAGGAAAAAGGGGGAGTTGACGTCGAGGAAAAAGAGGAGTGAATGATAAGAGAGTCCCCAAAAAAGAAGGGTGAGGCCACACAGGTTCTTTGTCCCTTCTCGAGCCCTGCGTCTCTCTCTCTCTTATACCCTTTTATTCTCACGTTGCATCCCATGCAAATATACATATACATATATGCATATGTGTTGCAAAGCATGCATGTGCATGGATGGATCGAAGATGCATGCATGCATGCATGCATGTGTGGATGTGGAGGAATAGAAAACAGATGCGAAAGGAGGGGGGAGGAGGAGAGTTGTTGCGTTTACAGACAGAAACTGGAACACAAGAGAGTTCTCCTTTTGTTTGGTAATGCTTTGTTGGTTTCTCAATCACTGCTACTTCGAACAGATCTTTTCTTACAGAGAGACAGAACGACAACAGTGTTACTGCAAAGAGGCATGGTTTCACTGCCACCCATTAAATTATCCCAACAGCCTTCCCGCTTTTCTTTTTTTTTTTTTACACCTTATATTTGTACAAAGATGAATATTTACTATGTAGTGCATATTTTAATTCAGATACATTATTATTTCCTAAATTTAAATATTTCTACTTTTCAATAGATTTTTTAAAATGGATCCCGGAAAATTATAGTTAAGGTTTTTCTCTTAGAAATGTGCATAATATAGCTAACGTTTCGAGGATCCAATATTTTTTTTATAATCCAAAAAATTACCAAACTGCAATTTTAGGAGAGTCGAGGAATTTCAAGTGAATATCCTCTCCAAATTGAGACTCGAATACGTGTTGGGAAGAAATTTTGCTCTATCCAATATTTTCACTCTTATTGAACATAATACAAATATATCGATCAATTTTAATGGAGAATTAATTTAGTCAGTAAACAACTCCATAATCTCTCAATTCAAATATATATATATATATATATATAATGAGTAAGTCGGGACATATATTTTGCAGTACGAGAGTGAAATAATATGGTACGGGGGCAATATACAGGTCACACAGGCGCTGGATTTTACTATCGGAACAGATTGAAAAAAAAAAAAATCTAAAAGGCATGAACACGACAACTGCGATCATAAGTCTCATCAATAAATACTTGTGCTGTATGAATGAAATGTACATTGATTAATAGGCAGAGTTTCTCGTGATGTACATCTCCTATACACCCCCCACGACTTTTCCCAGTAATGAATTGATTAACGCTCTATCAAAGGCTCATTTTAATTGTATTAATTAGCCGCCTTATCATTTTTCCCATAGATATTATGTATATAACACACACATATATATACACACGAACCGATATTTATATACTCCTTCCATTTCATTTTACATGACGTTCTAGCATATTTTTTTTTATAAATAAATGACGTTTTGAGATTTTCCAAGCTTAGGTGGTCTAGTGGTGAGAGAACATGCAAAACATGCTCTCACCTTGGATTCAAACCCAAGTGTAAGGAGGAACATTCACCTGGGTTTTTCCGATCCTCTAAAAGATGTAGTCAGGCCAAAGGCCCGGTGAACTTCCGTATTATCAAAAAAAAAACTAAACGGAGAGCATGAGGAATGTAGAAGAATGACATAAAGAGACGATGGTAGTAACGTCCCCACACTACATGCGAATTAGGGGGTTCAAATTTCATACATAGAGCCTTCAGAAAGGACCACTAATTGTTTGCCTCCTTCCCATGCCTAACATTTCTTAATTATCCTATTATTAATGTCACATGTCACACATATATATATATATTTATATGTGTGTGTGTGTGTGTGTGAAAATAAGGTACGGGCCAACATCATAATTTATAACAATTAAAGATTTATGAAAATTAAATAAGAAAGGGGTATGTACGAATACTTATAATCAATACTTCTAATTCAAGAATACGTTTCTTTTCATAATTGTATATTTTCATACGAATGAATGGATAGTCGTAATGTAGGTATATTTTGGTACCATTTTTAAGAAATGAATTCAAAGAGTGAGAACGTAGAAAAAAAATGGAAGGATTAAAAGGTCAAAAAACGAATTTGGTAAGAGCGGAGTAGTGCCCGAATTCAAGCGAGCCCGTGAACCTTTGAATGCTTTATTAATTATAAATATCCCTTTTTTTCGTCACCTTTCCTATTTCGCATTATGTATATTTTTTTATTTTCTCGTGTACGTTATCTTAAAAATAATCACATGCATGCATGTTGTTTTTGCTAAAAAACTGTAATGATACTGTGATATCTTTAAACAATTGATATTCAATGTCACGTTGATCGATAAAATGTTTAATGGGACACGTTTATGAGTATATTCATTCAAACCACTATTATTCCTATCAAATCAGATCCTATTAATTGTATGCGGCGCATAAACAACGCTATAATGAAATTATTTAAAAATGTGGAGTACAATATGAAATGAAGGGTTTAAAATCGACATAAACAGTCCGTTATTCAACGTTTTCACGCGTATATATGGACCACTCCCCCTACATATATACAGTTTTATTAGTGCGCATATATTGTCAATCAGCAGTTAAGTAAGATGGCGATACGCATGAGTATTCCGTAAAATGTTTGACGATGGCCATGTGAAAACTAAGCCTTCGGAAAACATTTTTTTTTGAAATTAATTTGGGTTCCCACGACATATTCGACAAATTTCCATAAATGTAATTGGATGGTCATTTAGATGCATATATATATATATATATATATATATCTTAGACATTATGGCAGCTTCCTCTAGCATAAATATCTTGCACGGTTTCGTATAAGATGTTAAATTTTACTAGATCAAGATTTCGTGCTTTCCCGTTGACTAAAAAGATATGGTCAAACTAATGGAGTGGCAACGAACCCCTAAACTTTGTAGTAATATATATATATATTATATATATGTGTGTGTTTAAAGTAGAAATTATGCCCCAACAGACAAACCAGACATTTCATATGCTTTATTTTTTTTAAAATAACGGAATATGAATTTTATAAGAGGTTAGATGGGAAACAAAGAGAATAAATTATATTCTATTCCGATTTGTTAATATCCAGAACTTTAGAGAAGATTGCGGTCCAAAATCTTAAATAAATAAAAAAGGGTTTAGTATTTACAAGGGATTGAAATGACGTCCCGTAAAGCGGATAGCGAGGAAAACTACAGTACGCACATTATATATAACGAACAAAAAAAAAATCGAATATCATAATTTGAATAATGAGAACGATCAAGGTGGACAATCAAAGGGATCAATACCGTCCGATGGAATCTGAAACCTCGAGTGCATGGAGAAAGTCATGCAACCGATCCGATATAGTAACGTGGCAACATCAACGCTTTTTTGCATGCACCAGCACCACCTTTTTAATTGTTTTTTTTCTGTTGTTATTTTACCGTCGAATTTACATTTTATTATTATTACGCAAATCATTACGCTACTCATGCCTCCACGTTCCATTTGAGTAATCTTTAATAATTCGGAGTAGGGTGGTCCAAACTTCTATAACCATCTTTTGTTTAATCAAATCGCTACTACACCAATTATTACTGCTATCTATCCATCTATTTTACTTTTAACCATTTTATCTATATTTTATTTACTCGTCTATCCTTTTACTTTTTGACGGAGGGATGCGAGAAAAGATTCCGAAATAATATAACTATCCACAAATTTTGTTTCCTCCTCTGCTCCTAAAAGTAGAATGATTTCCATTCAAAACCAAGAGGGGAAAAAAAAATCCTCAAATCGTATCACTTAAGCCAAGTTGGTAAATTATAAACATTGGTCACAAGGAAAATAACGCACCGACTCTACGGAAAAAAAACAAACCGATATGATAGAAAAGATCCTCGGTTTGAGTAAACCACTAATGGGTCCGGTTCAACTTCCGTAAAGATGAAACCTTTCGACTGTTCCCATCGAGAAAACCCAGAAGAAGCTCGGGGGCTTTGGCTGTCGTGGAGTTCAAGTGTTGAATGACCTACATCATTCCCACCACAACTAAGACACACATCCCACCAATGTACTGAACAGTAACGCAACCGGCTGTCTTGTCTGAACGAACCCGTAAACTCCATTCCACGTCATGACAGCAAATATCAGTCAGCCCATTCTACTTACTCTTGATGCTTCGGCGAGGGGGTATAACAATGGCCGATGCCTGATCTCCTCCATCGAGGATCATTGGCTGATTATCGTGCAGGCAGCGATTCAGGGTGGATACCATGGAAGTGGACTCCTTTCCCGACAAGGAATGGAGATTTGAGCATGTTGTATCTGTCAGAAGCTTCCACAGAGACAGAGCATCGTGGGCCATGAGGTCCAAGGCATGTCAGATGTTACCTGATATGGACAACGTAATGAGAAATGTTAGATTGGCATACTTTGGTTCTCTGAGAAAATGCTGATTGAGTACCTCCCGGTTTAGGAAACGGGTTTTCATAAACTAGCAATATGCAGCTTTTAAAGGATGGTTAGATCACCACAACTTTAATCCGATTCGGGATCTTGAGCGCTTAATGAAAATTGGGTTTCTAATGCGTGATTGCTCGCCAATCACTGGTGAATGGGTTCTAATGTCACCTCTCCAAGGTGAGCGCCATTTAGAGCGTGCAAACCAAGCTTGTAACTATGTTATGGAATTAAGTGTGATGCGTCTGAAGTCTGAGCTGCAATATCCTACAAAGAAAAAAATAATATATTAACATATCTCCACATATGTTGCAGACAAACGATTACAGATTACTTTCAGAACAATGCTAAATGGAGTTAGGCAATAATCAGAGCAAAAATATGCACAGACAAATGAAAAAAATGACGGACATCAGTCTTTTTACTCCAGCGAAGTATGCCGACCAACGAATGCATAAACAGCAATATGACGCAACTACCATAGAAAATGCATAAATCACAACCGTCACAATTGTGCACACTACATACAAATGGCTGCATTTCCATCCTTGTTTTAGCTGTCCACGAGATGCTGATGAAAGGAAATCACAGGGAGGCAGTGAGGCACAGCTTTGATAGATACCAGAATCAATAAGCGGATGCATAAACTTTGCACTTTTTTATTCTCTGTTGCACTTCTTCTGTGTTTCTAAGCATTCTGCCATGCCAAGCTCCTCAATGAGTCCATGTGCTTCTAACAGCAGGTCGCAGTCAAAATAATTAGTATATGCAAGCCAAGTACCGCAGTTCACAGTCATACAAATGGCTGCATTTCCATCCTTCCACCAACTATGACCAAGCCAGTATCACCATGTTTCAAAGTCTTTCTACTTATTGAAATTGCTACCTCCTGTTCACACATTATGAGGAAAACCTTCCCACCATTTCACAGCCATGGGTAAATTTAAAGAGAAATACTGTAACAGAGAATCTAGAAATACTATAATACTGCCATTCACCAAACTCTTCATCCACACGCCTGGAATGAAAATCCAGGGCCTAACCCGTCAAGCATAACAGTTGAGCAGATGATCTGATAAGTCGTAAACCCTTACTGAGACAGCATAACTTCTAAGCTGCAAATCTTTTGTTCAAACTTGGCCTCTACATAGGTCCAAAAGAAAAGACAGAAAATTTCACAAAATAGGAATATTCACCAACCTAGACTCACTAGGCGAACAACGAATATTAGATAGCTTATTACAAGAGACTCCCATCCCATCCCCATTACGATTCGCTCCGATAGGTGGTGGGAGAAGATCAGATTCGTATTTGACTGGGATACTCACCATATAAATTGGAATCACGCTTCTGTGAAAGAAAAATCACCCTCGTGCTGGCTATGGAATCAAGCGGAAAGGAACTTCATAAAGATAAGCAACACAACAATCGCAATCGTATATCGGAGCAAAATACACGAAACAGAACATGAAGACTGATCAAACGGACAAACAACACTGATATGAACGATGGGTAAAGACACGAGCCCGTTAAGTTATACAGATCTCGGCAGAAACGGCAGACAACACCAAATGCTACGGCATCATACCATCGGATCCGGTTAATAATCGAGTATCACCTAGATGACAAAATTCGTAATCGTTTAAGACAGAGACAGATCAAGGGTTTATAGAGGGTTTTGGGATGATATCACTGCGAATATTTGGGGGTATAAGTACCTGAAGAGTGAGGAAAATTGACCAGGCAGAGAGCATCCATATTTAGCTTCGTAAAATCCGGCTTCAACACCATCGCCTAACCTCGAAAAGATGGATCAATGGCGGATTTGGATCAGTTGTATCAGTCATCCCATACCCAGAGAGAAAGAGAGGAGAGAGAGACGCCTCGGCTCACCTCGCCGGTTTTCCATTAAAACTACGCCGTATTAGCGTTTGTTTGACGTTTAATAGGAAAACACCTTGCCGTTTTGATAACCCTCGAAAGAACGATACGGCGTCTCTGGCATGCAGAAAATAGACCGCAGGAAAAAACAGAGAGAATTTTTATAAGGTGACCTGGTTTTTCTTCTTTCCTCAATTTTTGATTCTCTTAAAATGCAAACAAAAAAAATCATTACGATGATATACAGTAACAAATTGAATAATACAATCACAACCGAAACGAAACACATATTAAATAACTTCCCAAATGATAAGCCAAAATAAAGGCAGAGCAAGAACCAGATCTCAGTGTCTTTGAAACTCCGGCGAGAATGACTCCGGTGTCGGAGCGGGCAAAGCTTCACATAGCGATGGTCGTGTTTCAGACGGGCTATGCGGGGAATCACGTGATCATGAGATTCGCTCTCAACATGGGAGTTAGCAAACTCGTCTTCCCACTTTACAGGAACATCATTGCTCTCTTTGTTCTTGCCCCCTCTGCCTATTTCCTCGAAAAGTAAGATCACTCCAAAAAAAAAGGGGAAACTCTCTTCTCCGCAATTTCAATCGAAAGCTTTGCTAATCTGTCTTTCTGCTGCAAATCTTGGTTGGATTTCTATGTATGAACAGGAAAGATAGGCCGGCGATGAACCGCAGCTTTCTGATCCAGTTCTTCTTCCTTGGGCTTGTTGGGTATGATCTATTGATTTGAATACTGATACCGATACCAGTCTTTTATAACAACACGCCTTATTTAGACGATTCCAATATCGTCTCCTGGTTTAAAGTTTGAATCTTTGGGTAATTTCGAGCGCAGAATAACGCTGAATCAAGGATTTTACATATTCGGACTGGACAATACCTCACCGACATTCGCTTCGGCAACCGAAAACGCTGTTCCTGCAGTCTCGTTCCTCATGGCTGCACTGCTCGGGTATCTTACAGTCTTTCTAGTTTATGCCCATTCTCATACATACCCCTTCCGCTCATCTCCAGTCCAGATGCACACGCATATATTTGGAGCACAGAAATTGCAGGGTCATGTTTATCTGAGTCTAATTACAGGATAGAGAAGGTGGATTTGAAGAGCAAAGACGGTGTAAGCAAGGCGGTTGGTACCGTTGTATCAGTGGCAGGTTCTTTGGTTATAACGTTATACAAAGGGCCGAGCATTTACCAACCGAGCCTTGGTTTGGACCGTCCGCAAAACACGAAACAATACAAGAACTGGACTCTGGGTTGCATCTGTCTGATGGGTCACTGCCTGTGCTGGTCGAGCTGGATTGTGTTGCAAGCGCCCTTTTTGAAGAAGTACCCTTCCTGCTTCTCCTTTGTCTCCTATTCCTGTCTCTTCGCCGTCCTTCAGTTCTTCGGGATCGCCCTTTATTTCGAGAGTGATTCCGACGCCTGGAAGATCAGCTCCCCGGCCGAAGTCTCTGCTTTATTGTATTCGGTCAGTAGCTTTCGTTTCCCTAAGTCAAGTCTGATTTACACAATTCTTGGAATGAATTCTTTGCACGCATTTCGTATATTACTCGGGGATCCAATGTACAGACATTCGACGTTTTTAGTATAAGCTCTGATAATGTTGGGGAGGAAAATGAAAGGATGGTGAAAATGCAGGGACTGGTAGCATCAGCAATGGTGTTCGCAATACAAATATGGGTTGTGAACAGGGGAGGCCCTCTCTTTGTATCAGCGTATCTGCCTCTTCAAACTTTGCTCGCTGCTTTTATGGCTGCCGTAGCTCTTGGAGAACGTTTCTCCATTGGCGGGTATTCAACTCATCAGCCCTTACCATTTTTTTTTTTTGCATAAACTATATCTATAGCCTCTAATGTTGAATTTTATTTTTATATTGGGCATTAATGCAATAAACGTGTTTTTTTTGGGTGCAGACTTGTTGGAGCAATATTGGTCATAGTTGGACTGTACTTGGTTGTGGTGGGAAAGAG